ACAAGTATCTGATTTACTGCTTTCTTTTGAGTATGTGCCCAAGAATGGAATTTGGTATACACCTAGCATGGTAATTTCACATTTAACTTTTGATGAACTACCAAATATTCCTACAGCAGCTGCACTATTTTACATTCCCACCAGTGTTAGATGAAGGTTTGGAGCTTCAGTTCTCTCTTACATTTTCTATGACTTTTTTCCTCAATACCTTGGACTCGGGCAACATAAACTATGTACTATGATGGAGTACAGATGAGCAGTCAAAATTGCAAAAGTCTATGCAAAATCTTCACTAGTTAAAAGACACTGCAAAGGCTCTACTAAATTACTGCAAGCCAGTGAGCCTTGTGTATTTCTCAGGCATGGGTAAATGGCATCTAATGTCACATTTACAGTTTGGATCAGCCAAGATTTGCTAGGAAGAAAACATTGCTCTTAGTGCAGTGCATGAGGCAGGCTGTTGGAGACACTTTCTTCTCGACTGTGTGGTCACGCTGCTCAGGCTACTGCCTGATAGCTCTGTCCACAGTGCGTGCTCACTACCACATTTCTAAAGTTAATCACTTGAACTTAAAATTTCAAGCCATTTTTTACTTTGAAAACTCTGAACGCCTCATTGAGGACAGTACATACAACATGTGCCAAGCCTCTGGTTTCAAAGTTCAGTTGTTTTTGAGTTATTTGACTGGACAAAAGGTCGCAAGATATCTGTCACAGCAGGGAAAGTGTAATTTTCCATGTCTTTATGATGTTTGGAAATGGTTGAAGTGATTTTCCCCCAAAATTTCCATAAATAAATAACTCTTACCAGCCCGGTAAATTTGACATGTTTTGGGGAAAAATTTTCAAAGTTACCTTCTCAATTTCTAATTCACCCGCCTGTCAGTCCCACACTCTTAGAGGAAGGGGGACTGATGGGAACTGTAAGTTTCTGGGTTTTAACCCAGAACTTTCGCATTTGGACTAAAAATACAGAAAAGTTTAAGCTTCTAAGATGTCTCTCACTTGTGACATTACAACATAAACTTTATCACTTAATATCACAGATATTTTAGCATCTAATTAGAACAGCCCTAGTGTCAGAGTCCACTCTCTTCCCTGTATAGCCTTGCTATAATTTTCTGACTGTTTGTATATAAAGTTTTCTATGCTTCTCTGACTTTCCCGTCCATTTTATTGTTGTTAGGTGCCATTGATTATCAGAATACAACGGAATGTGACCCTTCCTGGTCCTGTTCCAATCATTGCTCTACGGAGCCAGATATTGCAGCCAATACATCAAGGCATCTCAATCAAGTGTCTTCCTCTTTTTATTACTAACCTTTTATACAACCAAGCATGATCCCCTTCTCCAAGGTCTAGTCTCTTCTGATAAAGTGTTAAAAGTATCTTCACTTCAAAGAAAACATTCTAGATGTACTTTTTCCAATAGAGATTTCTTTAATCTTCTGACAGTCTATGGTATCATTTAATATTCTTTGCCAACACTTAAACTCAAAGGCATCAATTTGTCTTCATTTTTCCTTCTTTTGGGAGGAGTGGAACTGGTGGGGATCCTAGGTTTAAATCCAGATCCTTTGTATGCATATGAGGTGGTTGGAAATGCTGTGGGTCAGAAACAGCTTAGTTTCCAAAGTGACATCTTTGCTTTTTAACACTGTAAATAAGTCTTTTGCAAATTTGTGACATGCAATATTTCATTTGATTTCTTAGCTACTGCTTTCATTGGTGTTGATTGTAGGTCCAAACCAAACTAAATACTTGACAACATATTATCTCCATTTATAGTATGTTTTCATTATTTATGTTATAGGTGCACTAGTGATGCTGTGGTTCTGGGTCAAAATCTTGGTGGTTCTGATCCACTTTCTGCTTGGAGGGGTCTGCCTCTTTAAGGATTCACAGCCTTGGGAACTGTAAGGGACAGTTCTACTCTCTCCTATAGGTTCACTCTAAAATAGACTGGCTGAATGCCAGTGGGTTGTAGTAATACTGCTTATTGATCCAGTTGGATAATCACATGCATCCTACAAATCTGCCAGGGCAAGTGCCAGGCCAATTTTAACTTCTTGAAGAATATACTTCTGTTGCTAGTGACATTCCTGTGTACTTAGCTTAAAGTTCTGTGGAGACCTATTTAGTTCAATTTACCCCTCCAAGGAAAGAACGCAAATGGATATAGGCGTGAGTATACCTACTGCTTTTCTCTCCTGCTTGTCCTCCTTCCTCCACTCATCTACCTGCCCAGAGGACTAGTCCCTTTTTGGAACCTAAGCAAATGTTTAGGTTTTCGAGGGATGGCCTAAATAGTAAGGAGCTGTGGCCAATTCAAAGCCACATGATTCCAATTTACTAGCTGCTCTGCAGAGAAAGTTGGGCAATTACTGCCTCTGAATAAGAGGTAGAATTGTTGATAGCCAGTTCACAGCCTTTGTTGCACTATTCCGCCCTTCGACAAGTCTATCACCTATGTATTGTTGGGTCATCCCCTCAGCTGTTTGGTGATTAACAATCTCTGACGTTTTTTAGGTGCATTGAATCAATTCACAGGAACCCTGTGTACAACAAAATGAAACCTGATCCTGCCATCCTTACCATCTGTTGTAGTTAAGTCCCTTGTTGCAGCTACTGTCAATCCACCTCTTGGGCAAGATCCTCTACTTTCCCAAGTATGATATCTCTCTAGGGACTGGCCTCTTCTGATAACATGCCTAAAGAATGTGAGGTAATATCTCACTCTCCTTGCTTCTATTCTGGCTGCTCTTTAACCAAGACATAATTGTTCTTTTGGCAGTCCATGATATATTCACTATTTTGTGCCAGCACCACAATTTCTGGGGCTTTGTCTGACAAACTTTGGACATGTTGCCAGGAGGGACGGGTCCTTGGAGAAGGACATCAAGCTTGGGAGGGTGGAGGGGCGGCGCAGGAGGGGAAGACACGCTGAGATGGATTGATTCGGTGACTGGGGTAATCGGGATGGGTGTGTCAGAGGCAGTGCGGTTGGTGCAGGACAGAGCAGGGTTTAGGGCTGTTGTGCATAGGGTCGCTATGAGTCGGAAACGACTCGATGGCACATAACAACAACAACAACCACAATTTAAAGGCATCATCTCTCCTTCCACCTTTCTTATTCATTGTCAAACTTTCACATGCATATCAGGCAACTGAAAACCCCACGGTTTGGGGTCAGGTACATCTTAGTTTTTCAAGAGACAACCTTATTCTTTAGCACTTTTAAGAGGTCCTTGACAGCAGACTTTCAATATGTCATTTCGATTTCTTGACTGCTGTTTTCAGAGATGTTGATTGTGGATTCAAGTAAAATGAAATCCTTGACAAAGTCAGTTTCCGCCCCCCTCCACTTATGATGATTATGTCTTTTGTTCTAGCTGTGAGGATTTTTGTTTTCCTCCTGTTGTTGTTGTTGTTATGTGCCCTTGAGTAGTTTGCGACTCATAGCGACCCTATGTACAACAGTCGTAAACCCTGCTCTATCCTGTGCCAATCGCATTGACTCTGACACACCCATCCCGATTACCCCAGTCACTGAATCAATCCACCTCATGCAGGGTCTTCCCCTCCTGCGCTGTCCCTCCACCCTCCCAAGCATGATGTCCCTCTCCAAGGACCCGTCCCTCCTGGCAACATGTCCAAAGTATGTCAGACGAAGCCCGAGAATCCTTGCCTCCAAGGAATAGCCTGGTTTAACCGTCTCCAGGATGAATCCGTTTGTCCTCTTGGCAGTCCATGGTACATTCAATACTCTTCTCCAGCACCACAGTTCAAAGGCGTCAATTGTCCAACTCTCTGATGCATAACAAGTGACCGCAAAAACCACGGCCTGTATCAGGCGGACCTTAGTATCCAGAGAGACACCGTTGCTCTTGAGTACTTTAGAGAGGTCCCTAACCGCAGCCTTTCCCATCGCAATACGTTTTTTGATTTCCTGGCTGCTGGTGCCAAGACCATACTGAAGACTATGTAGTCTCTGAGCTTCATTACTAAGTGCTTCAAGACTTCATTTTCTCCAAGCAATCCAGTTTCTGGGATTATTTACTCAGCGTACAGGGTTGCATAGATACAATGGAGGGATGAAATCCAGGCACACCTGCAGTGTCCCCTTGTTTTGTTCAAAATTTCTAGGATTGTTTTAACCGTTTCTTTGTATGCTGTTTTTATTTCGTGAGTATTTCCCCCCTCCCCGAATTATACAATTAAGTTTATCACCTTCCTCTGCCCTGTTTCTCTTTGCTATATCTTTGTCTTTTCTTTTGTATAGTCACCACCTTCCAGTGACTGGCAAATGCCCACTTCACTTCAAATTACTTTCACCGTCTGTTCCAAGAGGCAGGGCATACCAGTCTGCAACTCCTATTCGTGCAGAACTCCAGCTCCTCTTCTCTTAGAGAAAACTGCGGGAGAACAGTGCCTGGTCACTGTCCTCTCATGCTGGGCAGACCCTGCTGTCAATCTGCCACTTCTCCCAGGTCCCCAGGGCTGCTTCTTGTCAGTCTACTCCACCGGATCTCCTCCTCACTTCTTACTTAGGTGATGTCTGTCGAGTTGTCTGCCTGCCGTCGTCTAAGTCAGCTACTCGACTTCCCCACGCCCAAATGGATCAGAGTAGCCGTGGGTCAGTGCCAGCAGCCCCCAGCCCGGGTCTTCAGCCTCGCCTGTCTGGACGGGGGTCCGCCCGATCCTTGGGTGCCCCCCTCTTGCCTCCTGTTCGGCAGGAACTTTACACCAGGAGGGAGAAAGCGGTAGGAGTGCGCGGTCCCCCCGCGGTGGGCGAGACCGGGCAGGGTGGGCCTGCGAGCGGGCCGGGGGCGTAGTGGGGCCGGGGGCGTCGCCGGCCGCCCTGCCCTATAAGGGACCGAGCCGCCTCCGCCGCCGGGCGGGTGCCGGGCGGACCGCGGCGGTGGCGACGGCGGCGGCGGCTGCGATTGGCTCAGGCGCCCCATCCGGGGACTGGGCTCGGCGCTGCTCGTTCGCCCTAAAGGTACCAATATGGCGGAGGTGAGCAGGGAAACCGGGCAAGAAGCAGCCGGGCTGGAGCGGGCGCCGGGCGGCCCCTCTCAGCCCCAGCGCCGACCCCAGGGCTTCAGGGCCTTTTCCGCTGCCTCGCAGGAGACGGCCCTGCGGCGCAGGGACTGCGGGGTCGTAGAGGGCCTCAGCGGGGCCGGCCGGGGGGCGGGAGCGGGCGCGGGAGCCGTCTCCCTCCGGGACTAGGCCGCGGCGGCTTGAGCCCTGGCCCGGCTGGACGACCGAGCGAGGCGGGAGGTGGCAGCCAGCGACAGCGAGCTCCGACCCCGCCGGCGGCGCCATGCCAGGCCCTCGGGCCGCTGACGCGGGCCGACGGCACCTCCGCGCCGCCTCCCGGGTCCGGGGTGGATGGAAACTGGCCGAGCCCCCCCTTCGCGGCCGGATTGCAAAGCGGGGAGCGGGTTGCGCCGCTGCCCCGCGGGAAGAGCGCGCTGCACCCCGGATCTGCCGGGCCCGGGGTGCGGCGCAAAGGGGCCGCACGCTCCACTTTGCTCCGGGCACCGAGGTGAGCGGGATGCGCGACCGCCCGGCTCCGCGGGAGACGAGCGGGAGTCCCGGCCCCGTAGCCCAGAAGGTGTGGGAACCCCTGGGGTGAAAGGCGCAGACCGAGACCCTTGGCGCTTTCTCTGGGAGCACAGGTCGACAGCCTCACTTTTTTGCAGGCTGGAAGTGGGAGGCCAGGCGACCGAGGCTGTCCCAGCCTTCTCCCCCGGGACAAGTGAGATGGGGGGAGGGGGTGGCACAGCAGGATCCCTTCGTCGGGGCGAGGGGCTCCCTGTCTGACCCTTGGAAGGGCTGCAAACCCTTGGAGGAAGCAGCAACCGTGGAGCTGAAGGGCTGCGTATTGGACTTGGGAGGAAAAACCGGGAGGCTCGCGCTTTGGTTTGGAGGCGAGTGTCCGGCTGCGAGCTGGCCTGCGCTCCGGGGTAGAAGACAGCCCCGAAGTTGGGGGCTTCCGAGGCCCACGGGTTGGGCTAGTTGCCCGAGGGGAGTGTCCCTTCCCGGAATGGGTGTTGCTTTGGAGAGGAGGGATTCGGGGCACCGAGAGCCTGTTGAGATTTGGGGAACTCCGGAGATGCCGGGCGTGGGGGACTGATGCTGCTTGGCGGCTGCGCCGGGTTTTGCCTTTGCTGCCTTAGAACTTTGTGAGCTTCACCGGCTCGTTTGGAGTTGCCTGCTCGACTTGGAGCTTCCTCCTGGGTCTGTGAGTTTCTGCACCAGGGACTTGGGAAGGAAGGCGAGGCGGCCAAGAGGGGGCCTGCGAAGGGCCAGGAGCGATTGGAGCGAAGCTGCGCCTTGCACTTTTGGCAGCTCCTGCGCTCAGCGCCTCCTCCTCTGCGCCCTGTTGCCGGCGCTGCCTCTTGGGCTGCGCGATCTAACTACACGTTTTCTTCTCTCTCTCCTAGGCTTCTTTTGGAAGTTCGAGCCCAGGTTTGTTCTCCTTTTCTTACCTCTTTGGGTGGGTCCTAGAGGGATTCCCGTGGGGGGTCAGGGGGGGGGGGTCAGATAAAAGTTGCTAAGTTATTTAACAAAAATTGATCCTGCGACTTTTCCATCAAGTTTTTAAAGAGTTTTGTGTGTAAATTGATCATTAATTGTTCAGATGAAGAGTTGTACTATTCTTTTTCTTATTTTCTTCTGTGTGAGAATAGCTTGTTAAACTGGTAACTGAAAATTGTTCTTAAAAGTAATATAGCTTTAATGCTCACATAATCTTGATTGTTCTTGAAAGTAATATATCTTTAATGCTCACATAATCTCGGTTATTTCTCTCCAAGTCTGTAACCACAAACCCACTGTGGGCTGCGACTTCTAGTGACCAACCCTCCACTGGGTTTCCGAAGCTTTAAATCTGAAGAGGAGACAACTGCCATTTCTTTCCTCCACACAGCTGTTCAATCTGCTGATCTTTCAGCTAGCAACCTAGCACTTAATTCTACTATCAGAGCTCTTTAAGTCTGAAACAATTAATCAATGTTTCAGTAACAGTATTATTTTAGTTTAGGTCTGGTGGTAAGGAGTTGTTGGATTGCCAACCCAAAGGCAGGCCATTAGAATCCGCCAACTGCTCCTGGAAAAAAGTGAGCAGGCTCCTCTTCTGTGGTTTGCAGCCTCTCAAAACTCACTGAATGGTCATATTTGAGTCAATTCTAGCTCAACAGCAGTGAGTTGGGAGTTTCAGAGTTTGACTTTGGTCAGAAATTTGGCTGTTGACAGTGACTTTCCAGCTCCCTTTTGTCTCTTTCATAACTGAGTGTAAATGGTGTTAAAATTGCAGATTGAGTGTAAAGTTGCTGTTAGAACAACTTCAAGTTTGACATACAAAAGTGGTAATACTGAATTTGTACTGAATTTGTTAGTCTGTGTACAGTGTTACTTAACTTTTTGGTGGTCAGGCATCCCTTTTCATAGTCTTAATGAAAGTAAGAGACACCCAAAGCACTATTCATATAATTACATGCAGTTTGCAGTTTGTTAAAGTTCGTCAATGGAAAGAATCTTTTACCACATTCCAGTTCTTAGCCCTTGTTTTAGTCCCCCTCTTGGCAGCTTCTTTTCCCTTCCAGAGTCTCCAGGAAAAGTACCTCTGAACTATTCCGACTCCCTTATTTTACAGTCAAGGAGACAGACTTTTAAACGACTCTACTGAGAGTCACCTATTTAATAGCAGGGCCTGGACCAGCTCCCAAGTCTTCTATTACAAAATGGCCCTTAGTTTGAACATTCCATTTTCCTGGGCTTTTTTTTATTTAGTTGACTTCTGAGACCTTGCTTGATTATAATTTAAGGTATTATGAAATCATCAACATCAAGTAGAAGAGTGGCAATGTTAAAGATAACTTGATATGCTTACAATATTAAAAAAAATTATGTAAGAAGTTTCTATAATTTTGAGACAAACATTTCTTTGTAATAACTAATGTCAGGGAAAGAACATTTATCTACATGATGCCAAACATCTGGATGATAATGGAATTTTTCCAGTTTGCATCACTGTCTGCTGTTATGTTTTGATCTAAATAAAAAGAAAAAAAGACACTGCATTTTGTGTCCAAACAGAGATTTATCACCTGTTTTTAATCAATTAGTCTATTTTTAAAGGAATTTTAAAACTAGATGGACTCTTGAGGTCATTTAAGCCAACCTTATATATTTTACAAATGAGATACTGGACTTGGGCCCAGAAAGTTGAGAGTACTTACCTCAGGACCCAGAGAAAGCTGGGACAAAGCCAGAAGTAGACCCTCAGGATCTCCCTTTTCTTAATCTTTTTGAATACCTTCCACTTGTATATTAAGGAGAGACCTGGGTTCCAAGTGATACAGAGTTAACAAAAGAAATAGAATACAGTGCTGCTCACAAGGGGTTGGGAAAGTTACCATCTTTTTCGTCCATGACATTTTAGCATACTATGGAGGTGTTCAGGAATTTCTCAAAGATGACCACCTTTGTAATAATGGATGGTGTGCTTTTGAGCTATTTAATGTAATCATCTTGCTTTGTAAGAAGTTAAATTAAGCCATATATACCACAGTACGTTTTTAAGTGAACAGATCATCTCCTTCCATAGCTGCTATAATGTAAACTCCTTCAAGTAAGTCCCGTTGAAATTGTATTCTTATTAGAGCTGTTGATGACAAGTGTCTAAACTGAAAATCAAAAACATTGAATGATTCTTGTGACTTCTCCATAGTGATAAACTTTTGCCTCACAGTATGTTTTGGTAATGTTCTCACATTACCCTTAAATTTTGTTTGGAATTGTAAAATAATAAATTGATTAAAGATAGGTCTGACCTGTTAAGTTAAATACGCTTCTTTCTTTTCATTTCTCTTTTACCTCAACCTCTGAGTCTGACCCTCCTTTTTTTTTTTTCTTACTGTGAGCCATTGCCCAAACTGAAGTAAAAAGAGAATGTCCTGATTTTCATAAATGACATTTATTCTCTTAGGGTTATTTGCTTTGTCCATTTCTCTTGGTTTTTGAGTATTCTATTCACTTAACTTTTATGTTTTATAAAACAGTTTGCAAAGAGAGTATCACACTGGGATAGGTCTTTCCAGATTTTCATGTGATGCTAAAACTTGTATTAGTAATATAAAGTCAGGATCCCTCTTAACATTGGTGTCTGATTATTGCAGGGGAGCTTGAAATACTGTTAAAGAAATGAAAAGTGACATAGTGCTTTTAAAACTAAATTGGAGTGTAGCTTCATCCTGAAAAGTTCTGTTTGTTCTGTGAACCAGATTTCTATGGTCTTTATTTGAAGGTTGGAATTTTGGAAAAATTTATATTCTCTTTTTATGAAATGCTTGCCTTAGTTTATAATGGATTTTTACAAAGTTTTCTATTCAGGGAGATTTAATCCTTCTGACATTTTGCTATTGCTTTTAGACAAATGTGTTAAACTAAGTGATAAGCAAGTTTGGCTGCTTTCCTAATAAAAGGGGGGGCAGTTGGAACTAACTGATAAGCAAGTTTGACTGTTTTTCTATTAGGATATTCAGTTAGGACTACTCCATTTAAATACCTTAATAGCTCAAATAGGTTGTTTTCTTATGCAGTAGATCTCTTGTAAAAACCTTTATAAATTTGCCTTAAAAAAACCCAAAACCCCAAAAACTCTTTGCCTTATTTTTTTACTGATTTAACTCTCTTTTTCAGAACCATGTGGATTTTACTTTATCAACTGTAAAATACATAGTAAATTCATTTAACAAAACATATGTAAAAATTAAACAGGATTGTCAGAAGAACACAGTTCATTTTCTTCGGTGAATAGCTTGGTGAATGTGTAAAGTGATTGAGATTATTTGGTTCCAGTTGGCTCTCTGTCTTCTGAGGATCATGATTTCGACCCCACTGCTGAGATGTTGGTCCATGAGTATGATGATGAACGGACTCTTGAAGAAGAAGAAATGATGGACGAGGGAAAAAATTTCAGTTCTGAAATTGAAGACTTAGAAAAGGTAAAGGAGTCCTCTGTAGTATTATAATATAGAATATGTAAATATTTAGAGACTTATATTAGTGAATTATTTTATAGTCTACCTGCAATAAAATCTTTTGGTTTTTACTTAATTTTTATAAAATAATCCTTGATTTCATTATCATTATTCTTTTTTCATTTTTTCATGAAGGGAATAATCTAATAAAATATTTCCATTTAACCTTTTAAAATGATTTTATATTTGTCAACCTAATTTTTAAATATATCCAAGGATGGTGAAGTTGGTACTTCAGACCATCTTGTAATATGTATCTTGTGTATCTAAAATATAGAGAATGCAGACACTAAACTCATTTTGGAGTACTAGTCCAGCCTTTTTTAAAAAAAATATAGTAGTTTATTTACAATATTCAAGTACATCATTTTCGAGAACAGAATCTTCCTATTTCTCTCACCTCCAACCCTCAAATTGTACAATTCCATGATTACTCCCCCTTCGCCCCTGCACATGCTCATCCCTCTTTTTACTTGTGTTTTATTGGTTACCCAGAGGGATTTGACTGTGTGGGTAGGACTTATCTTTTTAACCAATAACATACAGCTCTACGAGTACCATGCTTCAGTTTCATTCGACAAGAGAGGAGATATAAAGAAAATTCTTTCCTTTATATAAATAATCTGGTAGAATACTGTAAAAAAATTGAGAGAGTATAATGTAGTACTGTCACAGCATTTATTCCCAATCAACTTTAAAAAAAAAATGGGAGGAATGACTATAGTTTATAATTTTTAAACCCAAGTAAATTTACACAAACATGCATTTATACTAAAGGAGCAGAGCGAGGCTTGTTTAGGATGTCATCTTGGAAAAATATACTGTATCTCTATAAAATAGCTGAATATTTCTAATCAGTCCAGAAATAACATCTTTTAAGAGTAATAGTGACTAAGGGAGCTCTGGTGGCCTAGTGGCAAGAAGCTATACTGCAATCCCGGAGGCATGTGGTTCGAATCCACCAGATGCTTTGCTGGAGAAAAAGGGACAATCTTCTCCTGTACCAGTCATATCTGATTTGACGGTATACACACACAAAATAATAAAATAATTTTTTTTTAAGAGTAATAGTGACTGATACTAATCTTCTGAGTTTCAGATCTCTTTTTATACATAACGTATTTCCCTCTGCTTACTATCTTTGTGAGGCAGGTATAGATTATCACTGTGTTTCCTTCCTTCATGTTAATACACAGGGATATAGGAGGCAACATCTTCGGGGACTGAGTTCCCAGGATTACTTCAGTAGAATTTTTCTAAACATATTCACCGTTTATCTGCTTAGTCTAACATAGCTGCATTGCATTTTAAAATATATCTCATGTAAAGCCAGACATTTTGAAGAAGATGAAAGATTAGTATGAAATACTCAAGTGGTGGAAGAAGAAAAGTCTTGCCAGTTACTGATGTTGGGGGCAATGATAAAATGTTTGCATTTTGATGAGGAAGCCTATACTCTGCCTTAGCCTTGCTCGGACCACTCTTTCCCCCTGCTTATGAGTAGATCATTTAGAATAAATTGAAAATTATAGTGCAACCAATAATGTGACTAAATTGCAGACTGTGGAGGGTCCTGGGATTGCAAAATTGAGCCCTTAACAATATCCCTGAAGACTAGGCTCGTATATGTTAGTGGGAGATTTAAAAAAAAAAAAAAAGGAACAAAAATGGTTAAATATGCTACAAATTATGAATGAAATGAACTTTGCCTCCTCTGGAAGTTTAGGAAAGGCTTTTTAAAAGAGACAACAGTTTTTTTTCCTAAATATTTAACTCAGTAGACGGCTGCCAGCATGAAGCAGAAGTCTCCCATACTATACCTTCTTTAAAAAAAAACCTTATAACTAAAGAGAAAAGCTATCTCCTCCAAGAGTCTCCCTTGATGACATAGATGAAATAAAGCTTTCAGGACCTATTTGTTGACACAGCACAATTCAAAATGAAACAACCATAGGCGTTCATTAGTAAGTGGAAAATGGAATGTATGCATATGAATCTAGAAAAATTGAAGCTGTCAAAACTAAATGAAACACTTAGAGATTAATATGCGAGGTCTTATTGAATGAAATTGATAATATTGGCAATTTAAAATCAGTCACATGACCCACTGTGCTGGGAATGCCAAATGAAGAGGAATGACATTCCATTTATTGTCAAAAAGAATGTAAGCCTGAACTATCTTGACAGTAGCAAAATGGTATCTATAGTCCCACAAAGAAGACCATTTAATACAACTGTTCCTAAAATTTACACATTATTCATAAATGTCACAGATGAAGAAATTAAAGATTTTACCAACTTTTGAGTCTGAAATTGATCAAACGTACAATCAAGATCCATTGGTCATTACTAGTAGTTGAAATAACAAAAGTTGCAAACAGAAAAGTAGGATCAGTAGTGTAATGGTATTGGTGATAGGAATGACACTGGAAATTGCATGATAGAATTTGTAAGAGCATCAGCCTACTCAGTGGAAATAGCTCTTATCATCATCATAAACTATCTATACACATGTAGTACACAGATTGACTACTCAATTAAGTCAGTGGAAAAAGATGCACTAACAGCTCAATATCATCAGTCAGAATAAGACCAATGGTTGATTTGAACAGATGATCAGTTTTTCATATTAAAATTCAGGTTTCCAAGGCTATACATTTTTAGGAAAGCAGATATCTACCTCTTTCTCTGCTTGCATAGTCCCCGGTGAGTTCCATTCACCAACTTCTTAGTACTTTACCTCATGTAACAGCAGAGCTCCTTGGTGATAGCCCATGAAAGTAAAATTTTGTTGAGAATAATTTAAAAATGGTTGCAGTAGTATATCCATTGGGTACTGCCAGAAATTCCTGACAGATTGAGAAAAGAATGGATCAAAGAATATCATTGCTGATATCAAAATGAGTCTTAGCTAAAAGAAGGGAGCGATGGAAAGATGTTTGCCTATATTTTATTGACTGTACAAAGACATTCAACTCTGGATCACTGTAGTTCAGAACACTTACTGTGCTCATGGAATACCTGTACATAGATGTTGTTGTTGATTGCCTTCAAGTTGAATTCAGCTCATAGTGACTCTATGAACAAAAGGCCTGAAGCACCTTTTCAACTATAGACATTTATCAGAGGTCATAAAGTTTCCAGAGGCATTTGTTTAGGAAGTAGAGGCCACTTCTGCGTCCTAAATATGCAGACATAGAAGCCAGCAATCATCCAAACCGCCAAGGGGATTATTTCATGGTTAAAAATCAAGAAAGGTGTATGTCAGGGTTGTATCCTTTCACCATACTTGTTCAGTCTAAATGCTGAGTAGATAATATGATAAGCTGGACTGTATGAGGAAGAATGTGGCAACAAGATTGGAGGAAAACTGAACAACCTGTGTTACCAGATCAATCACACAGCCTTGCTTGCAGAAGGTGAAGGAAATATGAAGCATTTACTGATGAGGATTTAAGACTGCAGCCTTCAGTATGGGTTATGTGTCAACATTATAATAATAAATTCCTCACAGATAGACCAATAAGCAACATCTTAATAAATGAAACAAAGATTCAAGTTGTGAAGGATTTCATTTAACCTGGATTCACACTCATCAACACCCATAGAAGTAACAGGCAAGTAAAATGACATCACATTGGGCAGACCTGCTGCAGAAGACCTCGTGAAAGTGTTAAAAAGGCACAGTCACCCTCAAGTCTACCGTAGACCTGACCTAACCCATGTTGTTTTCAACTGTGAATGCAGGGAGCTCCGGTGGTTTAGTGATAAGGATTTGTGCTGCCAGTGCTAAGACACATGGTTTTGAATCCACCTGCTGCTGTTTGAATCACCAATGGGAGAAAACTGAGCAGTCTCCTCTCATGTAATTGACTGCATCTGAATACCCACTAGAGGATCAGCGATGAGTTTGTACATAACAGCCTCAACCTCATAATGAATACAAAAACTAGATGGATGGTGACTAAGGAAGAAGAAGAATGTTGGTGAAGAATATAGATTGTTCCGTGTACTTCCAAAAGATTGAACACATCTGTCTTGAAGAAAGAGTAGCTCTTAGGCAAAGGTGTTGGGACTTGGTCTTACATACTTCAGGCATCTTCTCAGGAGACGTCAGTCCTTGGAGAAAGGCTATCATGACAATCTTAAATAGATGAATTGACATAGAGGTGCTTCAGCAGTAGACTCGTCCATAGCAATGAATGAAGATCATAGGACTAAGCTCTTTGCCTGTTGTACACAAGGTTACTGTAAGATAGTTCTTACTTTGTGATATCTAACGATGACAGGGGAAATCTGCTGTTAGGGACCTGTCCAAAGTGCTAAAGAGCTGTGACATTAAGAGACTAAGGTACAGCTAATCCAAGCTGTGATAGTTTAATTTGCTTCCTCTGCTTTGAGCTGTGATGCTGGAGAAGAGTATTGAATATACCATGGACTGCTAGGAGAACAAACCGGTTCGACCTAGAGAGGGTGAAACCAGACTGCTCTTTGGAGGAAAGGATTCTGAAGCTTCATCTGACATACTTTGTACATGTTGGAAGGAGGGACCAGTCCTTGGAGAGGAACATCATGCTTTGGAGGGTGGAAGGACAGCACAGAAGAGGAAGACCCTCTATGAGGTGGATTGACACAGTGACTGGGATAATAAGGGTAGTTGTGTTAGAGACAATAAGGTTGGCTCTAGATAGAGCAGGAGTCAGAGCTGTTGTACATAAGGTCTCTTTGAGTTGCAAGCAACTAGAGGGCACATAACAACAACAACAACATTGTACATATGAAAGTTGGATAGTGAATAAGGATCACGGAAGAATTGATGCTTTCGAATTGTAATGTTGGAGAAGAGAACCAAATGTCCTAATGGACTGCCAAAAGAACAAACAAATCTGTCTTGGAGAAAAGTGTAGCTAGGGTGCTCCATACAGGCACGGATGATGAGACTTCATCTCACATACTTTGGACAT